TCCGGCTTAGCACTCCGTTTGTTCTGTTGCAAGTCTGCATAGTGCATCACCCCAAATTCGAAGGCTTATTTTTCTGGATCTGGTAACAGAACAAATCATCGAGATTATGAGACTTGGATTCATAGTCTTCAGTTCGTCTAATCTATTTTCTTTTCATTGAATATAGAAAAATACAATTTTCAGAAAGGGGGAAGCGGCCAAGCAAAGAGCTGCCATCCAACGGAATGGGGATTCAGGCGGTGGTGGTGGGATTCAAACACATCCCCGAGGCGATAATTTAATGATGTTATCACCACCACTCATTCAATCATAGATCTGAGAAGCGCTAGACTCGATTGCCACTCTCTTTAAATGGCATCACAAGTCTGTTGAAAACTTTCCTTCAAAACTAACGGTTGGTTTACCGTCTCCCTTTGTTGTTGGCGAGCGTAACCAGTCCTTTGACTGTCCTGGAAACTATATTTATTCATATTTCACACACGTCTGAATCCAGACTGTGCCAAATAAATCATAATACAATAATCTTTATACAAAAAAGAAAACGTTCCGTGATTTGCATGTGAGCCCAATACTGCCAAGTTGCCCGGGTGAATTTTCTTGAGGAATCCACAACCGGAGCCTTTGGTTAGCCAAGACCTGACCCAGAAGGGAGCGGGGCGGTGTGTGAAAACCGCAATCCATTGGGGGCTGATGTCCAGTTCATCGGATCATGCGCCCTTTTGGATGGGGGTCAAACGTCCACGGTGCCCAATACTCCTCGATGCCCAGTGTAGCGGATAACCATTGCCACAACGGGGAGTGTTTGTGGTTCGTACGTCTCCTCTTGGTTGATTTGAAATCAAGGTTTTGGCCAACTCCCCTGAGTGAACTACCGGTGGCCCACCAAACCGGTTATAGCCCCGGATGTGGGCTTTTCGTCCTCACTGGCGGGAAAACACCTCCGCCACGAGAAGGCAGTGAATAGGGCTTCCTCAGTCGAGGCTATATGAGACGCTTGGTCATATGGGAGCGTTTCGCGGGGTACAAGAGAAGGGTGACCAACCGAAACCCTAGACACCCATTCCCGACCATACTGAGGCTTTCTGAGGCCTGAAAATGATACCTAAACGAAATCTGTAAATCTGTTCTTCTGTAGTGGGAGGTGGTTAGGTTTGTAAAACACACCTATATGAGGGATCTGGAGTCCAGATTGCTTTGAAGACTAATGCGAATTTCGACAGATTTGGTAATGTCCTGCGTGAGTGAATTTTGTGAGTGCAATAAAGACGTTAGGTCATTCGTTATTTAACAGGCTGTATGTCGGGCTATTATTAGTTATGCGAATGTGTACCAACGGTATATACCACCTACTATCTCCTGCTTAAAGGCGAATCAATTATAGAGTTATCTATAGTGTCGGATGCCCACGCACGCGATCGTCTTTCAGGTCGATATAGGTTGCTATCCATTTACAGTTCCTCACACAATAGCCGTAGACAGATGTAGAACCTCGAGTTTTCCACGTCGGCTCTGCTCCACCGTTTTGTTTTCTTAATGTACTGCTTTGTGCAGTTAATAGTAGCAGGAGCGACCCTTTTTGTAGAGAGAAACTAATGCTCACTGCAGTTCAGTTCAGTTTTTACAACCATTAACCATGCACTATCGTGCGCCAGTTTTGGTTGCTGTCTTTTGGCTGCCCAGTTGGATGAACATAAGGAGAAATACAGGAAAAGTTGGAAGTAATATCAGTGAGAAAATTTAGGATTTCAGTGGACTAATGTTGCAGAGAAATTGACAAAATGCACGAACGCCATTGTTTACGACACTCAACCATATCACTCAGTGTCTCTAACCATCGGGTATGATCATCTCGAGGTCCCCACCCAGGGAGCCTAACGGGACCTGCGTGACCCAGACTCCTGGTTAGGGTTTTAATACCCTCATTCCAGGTCTTAGCTTGACCATCCTTGACTTTCTTCCACCCACTACCTGCCTCGGTGAACATCGCTCGTCACGGCAACCAACTTCATCTATGGAGGTCGACCATTTGCTCCAGTGGACGATCGCATTTACCTAAAACTCCACGCCTAACCTCAGCATTGCTCGTCCGGCTGCCCCACCAGATTCATGCAATGCTGCGTAGACAGCAGCGTTTGAACACCGACAGTCTATCTTTATTCTGCTTTCTGCGCCAGAACTGGCCGAACTACTGCAGCTTACAATCTACCCTTCACAGACAACCGGATGTCGCGACGGCGCCACAGATGTCTCAATTTGGCAAATGCCAATCGAGCCTTCCGTATGCGAGCAAACACTTCATCTGTGATGCGTCCACCAGGTGAGATGTAGCTGCCCAAGTAACAAAACCTATCCATTCGCTCTATTACTTCCCCAGTTAGGATGGGCTGGGTGCTGGACCAACCTAGTCTTGTAGCAGTAGCATTTTACCTTGGAGGTGCAAAACGCATACCGAACATGGCAACACTAGCACTCAAACTATCCAGAAAAGCTTGCAACTTATCTGGATCTTCACTTATCAGCACAGTTTCGTCTGTATACTGTAGATCAGACAGCCTGCCACCTGGAAGTTCATGAATGCCACTATCCTCGCACGAGGATAGGGTTGTTTCCATAATCAGATCTATAACAAAGTTAAATAGAAATGGAGAGAGAAGGCAACCCTGTCGAACACCACTTGCCGTGGTGAACTCGATCGAAGATGTGCCTTTCAGAGAAAGGCAGCGCCAGAGTTTAGAGCGGTCGACTGAGTCGAAAGCCGCTTTCAGATCAAGGAAGATAGAAATGCTGGGTCCACGAAAGGAGTGTCTATGTTCTAGAATTTGATGAAGTGTGGAGATGTGGTCAATACAGCTTCGACCAGGTCTAAAACCGGCCTGGTTCTCACGCGTACACCGTTCAGGTGCGGCAGACAATCGACGGAGTATGATCCCGGCGAGAAGTTTAGAGGCAATGTTAATTAAACTTATTCTTCTGTGGTTTTCACAAGTGGATCTGTCACCTTTTTTGTAAATCGGTATGATCACCGATTCACATCACTGAGGTGGAACATGTTCCCTCTCCCACACTGAATCCAGGAATTTTGTTAACTCCGAAACTAAGACTGAGCCTCCATCCTTAGAAACGGATGGGGACAGCCCATTGGGGTCGGAGGCCGTATGCCGTTCGAGGTAACTGATTTCCCGAGAAACCTCCATTTCAGATGGAACCCTGGTGTCAACTGGGAGTATCTGCCCAGCCGAGGTGGAGGGTGATAGTTCAGATGTCGATGGGGGCCAATTGAACTGAGCCTTAAAATGTTCTGTCCAACGGTCAAGACGGCATTGCTGATCGTGAATCAGTGTGCCATCGGATTCCTTAATTATCTCACGCCTATTTCCCTAGGGCCCTTGTTCCTAATTGGACGGGAAAGATTGCGACTGTTACCAATAGCCGCAGCTCTTTCCTAACCACCACTCCTGGCGTCATTCCTCAGATTCTTGATGAGCCGACATTTGAGGGATTTGCATGCTGTGTCATATGTGGCATTCGGGGGGAGGGTTCTGCAAGCTTCCAGCAGGGCAACCGAGGTCGACGATAACCATCGTTTGATTTTTTGAGCTGGCATCAGAGTCCGACGTTGTTTTTATCGATGTTTGCATAGCTGACTTACGGCAACCGGTGGGCTAAGCGCTTGGACGTGCAGTGGTGAACCACATGGATTGAACCTCACTGAAGCTGCCTATCACCACAGTTGGTTGACCGTGGTAGGGTTCGAGCTTCAAACATAATGACCCAAATAAGGCAAGAGCGCAATAGTGATTGTCATTGAAGCGGTTTCGGATCGACTCAATCAATGCTTAGCGTATCTTGACCAATTCAATTCAAGTCAAGGAATGGCTTTATACATCTCGAGAGGTGGATATTCAGCAACCACATAACCACAGTGTGTTAACAAAAAGTGGAAAAAACAACAGTATAATACAGCAATTAAAGGACGTGAAAAAGGACAGCAACATCAAAAAACAATGGCATACCTGGGTGTTTATGATAGATTTAGTTTAGCGTTTGGCGCAGATTTCCTGCAACGAGTTCATGGTTTGTTAGAAATCTGGCGAGATAAGGGACAATAGACCGCCTGTAAGCTTCAGTGCGTGTCTTTAAAAGTTTGTGAGTGGAACGGGTGAATGAGTGAGAAAGGCACTGACTAAGGGCTGAATAAAGAGGACAGGAAATATCAGATAAAATCTTGTTGGAGAATATTTTACATGACTTGATGTGATGTGTCGCCCCATACTGTACCAGATGTTCCCGTGGTATGACACTACAAACTGACAAATTTGAGGGATAGGGAAATGAGTTTAGGGTCCTTGTTCAAAAGACCAGGGAAGATAACAGGAGACCCATAAAGCCAGTGAGGCAAAATGCACGCAAAAACAAAACACCTATTGAGATGGTCTGGAATGGAAAGTGATTGAAGACGTAAAACATAAAACGTGAGCCCCCTTACCTTCAGAAAAACGTCATTAACGTGGTCAGACCAGGTGAGGTTACAACTGAAAATAACGCCCAGGTATTTGACAGACAGTTGTCGTTCCCTCTGGTCACTGGGGATAGTTAAAGGCGGGCTGGCGTTTGATAATTCATCATACTTTTGCCCTTTCGAAAAAGAAAAACATACGTCATTACATTTTTGTGGGTAGTTGATGGGCCCGAATCGGTTGAAGCACTAAGTGGGGAGCAAAACTTTGTTTTCCATATCCCTGTGTTGTTAGGATAACAACCTGTTCTTCTCTAACGAACTTTCCATATCAAGTCGGTAGCAGCACTCATTGTTCGTAATCTTTGTTTCTGCTGTCGATGTTAAATGGATTGACCACCGTGCTGCGCAAATCGACAAACTAAGCTTGCTTGTGGTGTTTAGTGAATGCATGCGCGTTTGTGGCCCATTCACTTCATCCGCAGCCTGATCATCTGAACCTGTAACTATTGGGTGTACTAAATGCGGAACTTAATGATTCAAAATGGGAATTCATAATGGATTTGTACAGACCATCAACTGTCGGTAAGCCGACCGTGAAGGCGCCGTGAAGAACGGGGGTGCCCGTTGATGGTGAGAGAGAGGGGGTGGGTGTTAAACTGATAAAGCTCAGTCGGACCGTCACACCAGACCAAACCACGGTAGTGCGCCGCACACACACACACACACAAGCTATATATCCTGCGTGCAAAATAGATACCTGGACGTGCCGATCCCCTGTCGCTGGACCACACAGACATACACCCACGATACAAGGGAGGTACATTAAAGGGTTCAGTTTGTTTTAAACTGTCACTGTAACAGTGGTGATAGCATCGTGCATATGGACAAATTAATAGGTCTTTTTTGTTACTGACGTACGGAAGAGGTAAATAATGATAATTGTATTGCGATGCATTGCACTGTGCATTGGGGGAAAACCATGACCAGTGAACCGGTCCGGGTAGATCGTGTTGAACCGGGTGATTGCTGTTGACATGATAGAACGTTGTGAGTGGGGGATCTCATGCGTCTACCTGATCACTTTTACGGTATTTGTTGATAAAAAATCATTGTGAAAATTCGCAAACTATCTATTCAACGGGATGTCACCGTATTGAAAGAAGATTCGTGAAAATAAACCTTACCCTTATACCCTTACGGTTGTTAAGGTATGATGGGAGAAATCATCAGTAGATTCTCGTCTGCTTGCCTTTTGTACTTTTTAGTTGGTTTTTATAACGCGTCGCTAGTATTATTTTTTCCTGGGTAATTCCCTTCTGCATTCCACTTATTCGCTTAAAATTACTAAGCTGACAAAAATCTACGCCTAAATCAAAAACAGGTCAGGCAGTTTTGGGAACGCGATGCGCAATTGTGTAGTCAATGCAAAAAGGTGTGTGATTTAGGGTTGTAGTCTAACTGAACCTCTCAGTCTCTCACGTCCACTACTCAGTACCCTTACCCAAGAATACAGACTGCAAACAACCTTCGCCATCTATTGCTCGAACCCAAAGACAGTTTATATTCTGACAACCGTTCCAGTCGATTGACCGTTCGAAAGCTTACCCGCCACCTGTCTATCAACCTGCGTCAATTATGGGTAAAGATGCATGGACTGGCGAAACGACACCTTGACGTGATATGATGGCTTGTACACCCCTCTGGCCCAACGCGCTACACAGGATAGCTTCTGTTATGCCGAAGATCTCATCATGCCTGGGAGGTCGAAGGGTAGGGATCAGATAAAGTCCACTCTCCTGGTCCTCCAGGTTGGTAGTTCGACTGGAATTTGCGTTTCAGTCGGTAAAAGTGGTGGAGAAGTAATCGATCCAAGTAAATAGGCCTTCACTTCGCTTCACCTGCTGCCTTGCGGTTAGGTTCTTATCAGAACTAAAGGTTTTGATTGAGAACCCTAATCGTTCTTCTGCTTAGTGGCTGGAGACCCTAGCAGCACCCGTTCATCAAATCCCGGTGCATAAACAAACTATAAAAAATCGATACTGCATCGGTTGTCGCTCAAGATAAACAAGACCACACTGTCCATTTCTTCGAGTGGGGTTTGTAGTGATAAGTGGGCTACTGTTGAGGTATCCCAACCTTTGTTTACTTTTTTGTCTCCCGTACTCAGCCCTCGTCCTTTGCCCCTTCCAACGTGTAACAGCCCCTCAAGCAACTTGCATGTCGCTTGCCATTTGTCGTTGCCACATAGCACTGCAAGTAGTTTACCAAAAAATCGATTGCAGATTCTTAAACCTCGTCAATCACTAAGTCTGTCGGCCTTCAACTTGAGAACTTTGATGCAGGTAGATTCACAAGCTTGCCTGCCGTGTACAATGAAATCCTTGGAGATCGATGTTTGCTATGTATCGCAGAATCGAAAGAGCACATTTCATACCACCAATGGCGAGTGCCAATGAGGTAAAGATAAATGTATCACTGTTTTCAAGTTTCTAGTCAACATCAACGTCGTTTATGGGTACAGTTCGTTATTCAGCATGAATTTAAGCAATTTTGTTGAACTGTAAACACTTACAATCCACGTCTTTTTTTCCAATGGTTATCTCGAGGACAATGCGGCCTGAAGAGGCAGCAAAATTCATGGGTTTTCTGCAGACCACCCTTTCTGGTACTACAGGAAATCCCCATACGGCTTGTGCATTCATATATGCCATTAGTGAATAGCGTTATATACATCATTCAACTATTATATATATCATTTTCCGGTAAATCCATACCCGTTATGTTTTTAGTAATTCTCCATTAGATATAAAATTATGCTCTGTCTTCCTCGGAATGCCAAATACTTTTACCACTGAAATCTGAGTGGATTGTCTTTCTGCTGAAATTTTCAAAATCTTGAGCTTTCGATTTATTTATATCTTCGTATTCATTGTGAACAGCAAAGCAGTATGATAGGCAACACCAACAGACGAAATTCGCACCTATCTCACGCCCAAAAGTCGGGTGAACTTTTTAGAACCTACTACTTTCTAAGGGTGTGATACATTTAACAAACTTGAACTTCTCTGATTTTTGTGCAACCCGTGCGTATTTCGTTTGTTGTTGGAAGTGTTGGGTGTTGTAATTCCTCACTACCCTCGATACCTTAACTTATTTGCTTGTTCATTTGTTCCATTTAGCAACTGTGTCAAGGTAAATCCGGAAGCTGTATCCCTTCTGGCATCTGGTTTTCTTTACCCTACGGATGTCGATCTGCCGAGTGAAATACTGCGCCCCCATTTGGCTCGTGGGATTGCACCGCGTGACCGTGCCACCTATCCACCCGATGCAAATTCCCTAACTTATCTAATTCCAAACAGTGCCGATTCACCGGATTTAGACGAATCGTCTCAAACCAATGAACTCCCGCCTGACTGGGAACACATAACTACAGAGGAACGGAAGGCGTTAGATGAGGCCAGGCAAAGTTCACGAAAGCTGCCGTTGCGTATGTACACCCCCGGTAGACCGCATCCGAATGAAGTTTTCTTTTTCAAGGTGAGTTTGAATGTTTTGATTTTCCTACAGTTGCAAATTCTGTCGTTTATCGCACTGCAAAGTTGGATGTACGACTCGGGGACAGATGGGCTAATCACTGAACAAATTCCCTCATACCAATAGGTATTGAAACGGAAGTTCCGTTCTGATGTTAAAAGTTTGGAACCTATGACAGTGTCAGCTAGCGCCCATTTCCAAATGGCATTATTACTCCCACGGATGAATATTCAGCGAGTAGCGTATACTCTGGATGCAGTATTCTATCCACCAATAAATTGAAAAACGGAAATAGTTCAATGCGAATTTAAACCCAGCGGACTCTATCGTTCTTGGATACTGCTTTTCTTGGACGGATATAGAATAGCTTGTCGAAGTAAACAAGGCTTACTGGGGTTTCCATTTTCGTGGCTATTTCTGTGTACGATGTCTTGGGGGTAAGCTATGGAGAAGCGCGGGGTCTCTCCTCGTAGCTTACAGTGTTCACCATTGCTTGAAAACCGAAATTTTTCGCACTTTGGTAGATCGTTGAAGAGTGTCTTCGAAGATCCAGGCTTTTCGGCTTCTTACTGTCCTCCCGCATTCAATCGAAGCAACTGCTTCCACCGTCTAACTGATCTATTTCCACTGATTTTATACAGAAGTTTATCTATTAGAGTGCTGTTTGTAATGGCCAAATCGGTGGAGGGTACGTTCTCTGTTATTCCTGGCCGAAACGTTCATCCGGGTCGATATGGATACATTCAAGCGTATTGATAGATAGACTTTGAAAAGTTAGCACGCGAGGACGTGTTTACGTTATGACCCGGCAGTACACTTCTAAGTCTTTCACACCCAGTCCAAACGGGCTCGTACTGGTGTGTCGATTAGGTTCATGATATGACCTTTGTTCGTGTACCAGGCTAGTCGGTGCCTCCTAGGGTGCTGAAAAGGCGTACTATTGACAACTATTCTGTTGACTTCGGCGATCTCCACCATCTCAGCGCAACCGAAGACGTATCCAGTAGCTTGGAGTAATGTGTCAATACGAGCCTTCTAGTGTCCTGATAAAAGAAACGCCGCCTCTAGGTACTTTTGGAGACTGTGATAGAATTCGTCTTTGATTCCATCATCTGTCGTGATCACCGTCAGGTCTTATGGTAATCCTTTAAAGTGCGCCAGGGTGAGGTTGGATTAAACTGGTTTCCATGAAGTCAGGACAGTCTTGCCGCTAAGAGCGAATACCACAACATGTGGACCAGGATTATCTTCCGGACCACTGTTGTAAAACCAATTAGCCATATCTACTCCTTGGAATTCTATGCATCGTGTAACTGAGTTGGGAGGACGATCTTGCCGCAGGTGAGTGGTGTCTATATGATAGTCAGGTCGCATTGGCATTGTCATATCTCGGCTACTCAAGTCTAACACTGTCATATTCTAGCAAGTTGCTTGTTCCACCTTCTGCTTTCGAGAATCCCAGCTCTTTCATTTGTCAGCTTGACCGTCAGAATTCGAAGTGTTACGCTTAGCTGTTTCGCCCTAGCATACGGGAGTGTATAGTTTCGGTAATATCCTTGAAGGTTTACAGGAACCGGATAAAAAACGGTGTTTGCGCACTGTTGAAGGCCGTTTTACTACTGAGTTACCCACTACACAGAAGGTAATGCAGCACTTTCGGCTTTTTTGTTTGAGTTTACATCTCTAGCATTTGCATGTATAACCCTCCGGGTTGCACCTGATATGCTGTTGCCTGTTGTTCCGTTGAGTTGTTTCCAGAATCCCATGTTAAGTCTATAGAAGGCGACTGGAGCAAAATTCTTACAGGGTGGCGGGCTGCGATCGCCACGTCACTTTGCGGTTTGCAGACATGTGCAGAGTTTTACCGTGAAAACCCACAGCATCCTCGATCACTTCCCCTTATCTTCCGCGACCACTTATTTAGTTAGCCTAAAATCATTTTATTCATGGTTAACTACCAAATTGTGAATAAATACTTATCTGCGACCTGTTTTTCCCCTAACTCTCCGGACTCTTGTATATTCCACGATTCATAATGCACACTTTTCCGTTAAGGTGGGTTTACATCCTGGTAACCGAGTATTTTCCTCGCACACAACAATCTTCAGTGATCTGTCGCGAAAATGACTCCGAATCGTTTTAATAACGTTTATGAAAGAAGTGTTATTTGAAATAATGCTGATTCGGCCAATGGTCGCATCCACTGTAACATCAAGGGGCTATTGGTATACATGATTCGGAGACAGCGGAAGCAGCAGAAATAGCGACATCCATTCGCCTTGAATGCCCTCAGTTTCCCGGTCTCTTTCTTCCCTTAGATCATCGATCGGTTACTGCGTTCACTGTCTTTGCACTGTAGGCTGATCTCGACTGACTGATGTGACTTTCGTCTCGTTTTTAGTCTCATTGTCTCTCTTGCTGCTTAGTGATGCGTGTGTGTGTATTTGTTCATGCGTGCATTGGGCAAGTTTACATACATGCAGTTGATTTACTGCCCCACTGGTTTTGTTTAACCACTTAAAATAAGTTACTGTTACTTATGTGTAAACTCGACTCAGTCGTTGTGAATCTTCAGTTATTTTTGTCTCATTTCCTTTATGTCACTCGTAGTCCAATCGTCGGTGTCTGTTTTCAGTTGCACATCTAGGCATTTACCGTATTGTCTTGTTTGTTTGTCCAATTGGAACCTCTGTGGGGCCTCTTTGTTAGGCTAGTCAATTACCATAAAGTTTAGTTTCAACACGGGTACGCGCGAGCTGTAGTTGGCGTTTCTTTAGAATTTATGTGAATTATTCGTGATTTTCCACTTTTTTACCTGCTGTATGCAAACGCCCACTATTGGGATCGTTGTACCCTAATCAGTGATCAGCGAAGGGTTTTCAAGAGAAGGAAAATATTGCATCGGTTTAAAAATTTCAATGAACACCAGGCTACCCATGAGTAGCGTGCTCCCGTTCCATCTGTGAGGTCCCCGGTTCGATTGTCGCTCGGGTTAATGAATTATAACTGCTCATACTACACAAGTGTCTGTGAATATTACCTGTCCTACACCACTGCCCACAAGTAACTCATTTAAATTAAAAAAAAACAACATCATTTGAACAGTTTACCCAGCCGTAGATTTAGACTTGTTGATTTTGATGGATTGTAACGGAAACCTACCGGGAAAGAAAGCTTACATGGTAATTACCATGGGTAAAGGCTTCCATCTCTAATCCTCAGGTTCGCGAATCGAGCTTCAACAAGGAAGCCAAACTCGTACGCACTTCTGATAAATCCCCGGTGCTAGTTGTTCGGCATCACATTGTTTGGCAACTTTTCCTTTGCTTTTCGTAGAACAGATTACATTTCACACTTGCAACCTCCAATAAGCCTATAATTTCCGTCGATATCACAAATCAAGCGAATACGTTGCACACACTCATCTTTAGATCATATAGCTTTAATGCACTCACTACTCATTCTCGCACACAGCACGTCTCGGCGATGCTCAGCGATCCGCGATCACCACACAAACACACACACACGGTTTATGTTGCGTGTGCCACACTGAACTTCTATGATGCGCATCCTCTCAGGTGTGAATTTGTGGTATAGTTGTTGCTGTTCACGTTTTACACTCCCCGTGCCGCCTATTCGGTCCGCTCGGTTCCTCTTTTTATCCACTAAACGCGCAACACCGATTTCACCAGTCGTTCTTGGTTCTCGCTTCTCTCTAGTCTGCGTTCATCTGTCCTCTTATCGACAATCATCTCGCGTTGGTAATTGTGCTTGTTATGTGTGTGTTTGACTGATTCAATTATCTAAGTACCCCGATTCGCTCCTAGTCGAAATCTCTCGTCGCTCGAACGATGAAGAGACTCGATTGGACTGAGAACCAGAATGGGACTAGAAGAAAACCACCAGACTAGATCGATGTGATATTGCAAGTCCATGTGGAATTGACTAACGTTTCTGTGACGGCACTTGCGTGATAAATTAACCGTGACATCGCCAGTATTTTCCTAAGCTTACTGTTCTTGTTTACATATCCCCGGTTATATGGTATGTGATATATCTTTACAACCGTTATCTCGAAGAGTGTCATTTTAGAGAGACTCCAAAGTAGCCCCCTTTCGTATCATTACTGCAGATTGTTCTTTTTGTTGGACAGCGGAAACGGATGATGGAACCATCTTGTTTCCAGTGTTTTTTGTTGTTGTCAATTTTCCATAACATCAGATTCCATAGGATTTCTAGAGTATCACTTTTGTGCTAATTGTTTTGTCCTTCCTATTCTGCTCTTTATGAAATGCATTGAACTATTTCATGTATATTGTTTCAACGTGGTACTTTAGGCTGAGGGGTTATCAGCACTGATATTATATTATGAATTGTTCCACCTTTTCCATTTCCATAATCTGTTTATTTCTTTCCTCGCATTGTTCCAGGAGACTGATAAGCGCGAATTGCTCGATGAATTACGATCCGAGGTGCCTAGTTTTGGTGGCTCGTTCGGTCGTCTGCCGGAGCCGTATGACAGCCTGTCTCGCAAATGGTTCTCGGATCATCGGAGACGGCAACCAAGACCCCGTGTGCAACAGCCACCAAAACGTTGGCGTTAGATTGCCTTCTCTCCATCTTTTCAGCCACCGGTCTGGTTCCGTGGGCGGTTTTGACATCGTTCCTTTAGACTGTCTTCTTCTTCACAATCTGTACATAAATCTATAGCAAATAAATCGTTGTATCGTGAATCCAAAGGTGCTCCTCGAACCAGTACGTACCTCGGTCACATCATTTTTGGTCCGAGCCTCATTGAAATACTACAAAATGGGATATTAATTTAATGAAATAGTAGCAAATGGTTGCGATTGTTCTTATCTGACTTATCACATCGCTCGCATGATGAATATGAACGTTTCTCCAATTTAATGACTGTAAAAGTGAAAATGTTGTCCCGGGGAAACCGTGACCTTCAGGTGTTTCCATTGAGCCGCTTCACTCATTTTGTTGGAACATAATCAATGACTTACGATCAATCCGTTAAGTGGAGCAATCTTCAAACGCACGAGCCAATGGACAGTTTTTATCCCAGACGAAGCTAAGTATGAATGTAATCCTATGGGGCTACTTACGTCACGCAGTCCGAAAAGCCCAGTTAGTTGAATATCGATACCACTCAACTTATCCATCCGAATGATTATTGTGTCCCGTTTTTCTCAGAATTATTTGAATCGGTCTCGCGAGCTTTCTCAATCCTTTTCAAATAGAACAGTACCATAACAGATTGGTGACACATTTTTCACGTGTCAGAGCACATGGAACGAGAATTTTCTGCATTATGTTATCAACATCACATCATCGTTGAAACTCGCTTTAAAGTTGGTCACCAAACAAATGTGATCATGATTTACATTTATTTATTTATAAGCTGTCGCCGGGTTCAATACCGTGTTTAGCCCATCGGACTTCCTGTGTAGTTGGTTGCTTCAAGTCTCTGGGCATAAATTACCAGTTTCGATGACTGATCAGTAGGTTCTCATGAACTTTGGCTGCACTACCGACTCTTTCAGTGAGGTTTTTGGGTTCAATATTGCATCTGGCACAAACCC